TGCCATTAATAATTGAGAATAAATTTGTGCTTCGAGTCGAACACAAAAACAATTTTAAAGTTATAAATATGCTGTAAAACTTGTTGATGCCAAAAAGTAAACTTTCCCATCAACGTTTATGAGGTTCGTTGTGGATTTTTATCCACTACTATCTAAATTGGATCAAGCTCAAAAGATAAGCTAAGTCCCGATTTCTTGTTAAATAGAGCAGTTAAAAAATGTAGCGAAATACCAGAGAAAATAAGTATTCATGAAAAGGATGTTATCCATAAAATTCGGCTTCCTTTCGAATGTTCATCAAAAAGACAAACTAAAGTAGTGAAAAATTAGCTAACTAGATTTAAATTATATGAAATGCTTAAGATAAAGCAATATAAATATTAAAACAGTGCTATACGAATTCGAAGAGAAAAACCCTAAAAGTAGTATCACTCAACAAAAGTTTGTGACGGTATGTTAAATTTATTTATATAATTTTATGCTGAATTCTGTGCTAAAATGTAGATTGCAGATGCTTAAACGCAGTTCATTCTAGCTTTAACATTTGGCCAAAGACTAATAATATATTTATACTATAGAAAAATAAAAAAGATTTATAATATGGTTAATCACTTCAGTTGTCAACTCCAAATCGACTTTAGCGAGGCTGGCCAACAGGTGCGGCATCAACTCTTCTCCTCCAGTTGTAATTAACAAATCTTCCAAAATAGCAAAACAGTTCCGTTGCCAGGACTCCGAGAATCCCGTCTCTCGTGACTCCCAATTCTTCTCAAAAGTGACTTCAGCAGACTCAGATGGGAGCTGAGAATCAGATAACTCCGACTTGGAAGAGGATGTCGGCGGGAGAGGTAAGGACGAATTGATAGGTAGAGAGACTTCTGCAATTGTCAGTGCAATGTATGTAAAGTTTGGATGGTAAGAAAAGAGGCAAGGTGAAAAGGAAGAAACAGTCGAGGTAGTCAAACGTAATGAACTATATAAGTCTATATTCCTGAGTGTAAATGATCAGACCAACTTTTCCCGTCAATTGAGAGCCTACATATTCCAGAGGCATTCTAACAAAAAATGTTAAAGATAAAATCATTTCCAAGAATCCTCTATGCACACTTACCAAAATGACTCATGTGGATTAGCTTATAACCAGGCAGTTATGGATTTTACGTCCAAATAGAATGGCTGGCCGGTGCACTTCGAGCTAATTTCTAGGGCTTAATTGCCCCTTAGTGGGTATCTTCAGCGATACTTGGCAGCGTGTTAATTCTGAATGGCTGGCTTAGTATATATAAAAACTAATTATGTGTGTTTCAATTTATCTTAAAATATGAGGGAGCTAGTTTAGAGATCTCGCTAGACGTTGAAGGAACGTGGCCTTTGTTCTGCTAGGAAATCGTCTCAGCGATTCATTGTTGAGACTCCGGTAGCCCTTTTGCATAGGGAGAATGTATGTACGAGTAAAAAGCGGGTTTCAATTAACGTCCTGAAATAACATTATGGTGGAGACTTCCATTTTGTACGAAAGTGCATGATGAAAAGATTCGTGGGTCGACCTTACCAGAAGACTACGGCTGATTCCTGTTGCGCTGAAGCCATTTGGCTTTAATACGACATTCAGGCTAACGCAGTCCACGAAATATCATGCCTCGTTTCCGAAGGAAATGGGCTAAGCTTTCCTTTGCTATATTACGAACATCATCAGAGTTAAGACTCATAATTTGAAAGGCCTTAAGCTAAGACTAACTCAAGAAGACTGATTGGCCCATTCCTACTTTATATATGTACTCAACGAAAAATATATTTTTAGGTATAGATTGATATAGAAAGGTTTTGTTAATTTTCTTTTACCAAACGATAAGTTAGTCGAGATGGGCTTCACTTGTATCACTGTGCCATAACTCGGTGAAGAAGCGAGCAAAAACTAATGACGATTATAACGAAATGTCTAGGGATGCACCAAACACAGGGTCCTATGCTGATAGTAATTATGACTACTCCTGAAAAAGATGGCTGAGTTGCGATAAGACCAATCCAATGATCAAACTCCTGATCTATGCAACGTGTTCCATGAAGACTTACTAGGAAAGTGGGCCTTTCCTTGGCTTGCAATAGGCATAAAAATAAGGTCGTGAATAATATTATGTCTATGTAGGGTCCTTCAAATAAAAAAACCCACATTTCATAGGCCAATCGGTATATTCTTTATAACCATTCTTAAAAATCTGGCGAGGCAAATAAGTTTTAGAGGTCACAAAGGTCAACAAAAAATGTTGATTTGACCAAGTTAGTTAGAATTATACGAAAATTACAAGATGTGACTGAAACTATGCCCGTTCATCTGGTGTCATAATTTCCCAATCGCAAGACAATAATATACATGATATTACGCGTACAGGGGACTATCATCGTCCATCAAACTGGCATCATCTTAAAGGCAATAGCGAATTAGCAAATTGATGAAATTAATACAGAAAGGCATATAAATGACTACCTGCCAACATTGCAACACCCGTTGCCGGAAGGATATCATCAATCAAACAGGTGGAGCCTCCAAGTAGGATGAAGATGTTGGCGTTGGCGGCTGAGTTGGCCAGGCAGTGACGGAAGAGCCGCAGCAAAATGCTGCCCAGCTCGTAGATCTGTTCTTTGGACCAGCCTGCATAACCTGGCACTTGCTCGTGCGCAAGTGACTTTGATTGCGGCAAAGGCTGCTGCGAGGCTGTGACTTTCCCGGCAGGCATAAAGTCAACTGTTGCATGTGAGCTGTGGGCC